GAAAAGCAGGGCAGAGGCTGAAGCTTTGTACCAAAGCAAGGTAAATCGTCATCCAGAAAGTCGGGTGGGTGAGCTGTTGCTGCCTTACAATGAATAGGCTGTAAGGGAAGGCCAAATGTTTTCTTCCAAAATTGGAATTAGCAAAGCCAAGCCAGTTGGAGGGATGTTGCCTTTTCTCTTTTCTCATTGTCCCACCAATCGTTTCTTGTAAATCTATTAGCAGTCAGGGAAGCTGCATGCCACTTTGGCCTCTTGTGGTGTACAAGGGTTGCAAATCTGATTTCCCCCTTATTTGCTTTCCAATTTGCCTCAGTGTTTAGATGCCTCCTTTCCCAATCTAGTGTTCTCAAGAGCAACTTCCCTACTTCTCAGCTAGCATTGCCAATGACTTTTGACTGGGAAATGTAAGATTTGCATTCCAAAGCATGTTAAATATATATATACACACACTCTCACAAACTGACTCAATTAAATAATAATTAACACCACAGTGGCTGCTTTCTACTTTTTTTAGTATGAAGAACTCCAGAGTACTGCTGGAAGGCACAGTGATGATCTTCGTAATGCCAAGCATGAGATTTCAGAACTTAACCGACATGTCCAGAGGCTGAAGGCTGAAATTGAAGGTGTGAAAAAGCAGGTAGGTTACTGCGTTCTTCCAAAGTTGTGATCATACAGTGGTTCTGCTCCGCCATATTTCTGGCCAGAAAGAATATCCCATTTCATGATCTTCCCATTCATTTCTAAAGTGCAGATTATTCCCCAGTTGAAATATTTTATTTTTTCATCCTTAAAATAATGCTACCTTTTACCACGTATTTAACCTCAAAATTAGCAACACCTGTGTAGTGGTACTCAAGGTCAATTGGTTCTAAGAGGCACAATGGGTACTAAAAACTAAGAGTGCCAAACAAACAGGAGACTTACCACATGACTCTTTGTTTTGGCCAGGTACAAAATCTTCTGCATGTCCGTTTTCTTGTCAGTGACCTTTCCAGCATGGCCCATCCCCTGTCCACCCTCTGTGGTCATCCTCCTCTTCCTTTTGCAACATGCCAAATACCAAAGAAAGTACGAGTACATTTTTGCATCAAAATGCATCAAGTTACCAAATTCAATGAGTTTTGAAGTAGTCAAATACCCAGGTACCACTACATATGAAACACAATGGGACACGCACAGATAATCTACCTATTTACATTACCTGCCCGCAAAACAAAGTATAACACAGCATCTATGATGCTTATCCACATAATTTCCCCATACCATTTTTTCCCCCAAACAGCTGTAAATTTCCTGGCTAGCATGCAATTGCAAACCGTCATCTTTTCCCTGGTCTGTACACTTCTTTCAACTTTCCATTTACGGGTAGCCCTTGACGTATGACAGTAATGAAGCCTGCCAGTTGCAAGTTGTTACAGTTGTCAGGTGATGTAATCGCCTCACTTAACAATTCTGTGATTGCCTTGCTTAATGAACCTACCCCAGGTTTCCCCAATATTGTCATTAAGCAGACCATGGGGTGCCTCAGGTGTGGGAGGCCTCGCATACGCCCAGGAATGCCTGCCTTGTTTTCTTAAGGTTTCCTGACTCCCTGAGGCACCCTCCCTTGGGGTCCCCACCAGAGGTGGTATTCAGCAGCTTCTGACCAGTTCTGGAGAACCGGTAGTGGAAATTTTGAGTAGTTCAGAAAACCAGCAAATACCCTCTCTGACTGGCCCTGCCCCCATCTATTCTCTGCCTCCTGAATCCCAGCTGATCGGCTGAGTCTTCTTTTGTTGCCCTGCACAGGGGAACAGAGCTGGAAAGCAGGTTAGTGGGGTGGGGAGGGAATAGGATTTTGCAGTATCCTTCCCCCGCCACGCCCACCAAGCCACGCCCACAGAACTGGTAGTAAAAAAATTTGAATCCCACCACTGGTCCCCACATACCTTGCTTCCCACCCCACCAGGCACCACATCCTCCTCCTCACACCAATCAAACACTTTAGAAAAGCCCTGGAGCTTGCATTGGGGCAGAAGGGCAGGATGTTCTACCTCACAGCATCCCTGGGCTATGTGAAGTCATCCCATAAGGGGGCACCATTTTCAGAAGAGCCACAATTCATGTGGGGTTTATGGGGCCTGGTGAGATGGGAAATAGGCTCAGGACAGTATGGGGGTGGAAGATAGATAGAGGGGGTTGTTGCAGCACACCTACAGTCAATCATAAAGGCCATAACTTCAATACTGGGTTGTAAGTAACTTTGGGGGGGGGGGCGCTGCCTGTCATAACTTCAAAGTGTCATTAATCAAAGACTACATGTACTTCAATGACACGATACTTTATCCTGTCAAGCATAAAGCAGCAGCAACATGGCTGACCCTAATACTGCTAACTATCCTGGGAAATTGTTGAAAAGAAGGCAATCCTGTCACTAGTCATGAAACAACAGACCAGTTGCTGCATAGAGGATACTGAAAATTTCCCATTGCAAATTTAAATACTTCCCTCCCAGAGTTGTGGGTGCTTCATCACTGGAGGTTTTCAAGAAAAGATTTGTCCGGGATAGTATAAAGACTCCTGACATGGACAGGAGGTTCAAGTAGAAGACTTCCAAGGTCCTTTCCAGCCGTATCATTGTATGATTCTATACTCAAAGGTGCTCTTCCAAAGTTGGAATACTTCTGAGCATATTATTTCATTAGTACCATCCATGCTTACAGTGTCTGGAGCAGGTGGCCCTTGACATTTTGGGTATGTCCTTGGAGATCCTACAAATGTCCAAGGATGGGTCTTGGGCCAAATATAAGTTTACCATATCTGCTTATGGGATAATATAACTGAAGATATTTTACTCTGTTCTGAGGAGATGGCCTTCTAGGCTAATTTCTCTTTCCTTCCTCCCTTAAGTGTGCTAAACTAAAAGGGAAGATTGCTGAAGCAGAAGACCAAGGTGAACTGGCACTCAAAGACGCAAGGCAGAAATTGGCTGAACTGGAGGATGCCCTTCAGAAAACCAAGCAAGAGATGGCCAGGCAACTCAAGGAATACCAAGAGCTAATGAATGTGAAGCTCTCCCTGGATATTGAGATTGCTACCTACAGAAAACTCCTGGAAGGAGAAGAATATCGGTCAGTGACAGGCCATCTAAATAGACCTTTACAGGTTTTGCTGGTTTTTTTTGTGGAAATCCTCAAACTCCATCAAAACAATCCCCATTAGCATCTAGTTCTGTGGGCACAGTGAGTCTTTTCCCCTTGAAGTTTATCCTTCAGTGTCTCTAAAGATTTGATGACTTTGCAACAATTGTCATACGTTGGTTTGGCTTTCGATCAGCTGTATATGCTCAGAATACATTTGAATTCTTATCCATGGTTGGCTTCTGCTTTGTTTCCTGACAGATTCCTGAAAAACGATGCAGCAGGTGCGGTGAATATCTGTAAGTATAGTGAAGAATATTCACATTATAGGACCTTTGCTGTCCAGTGCTGATTAAGAGGCTCCTTGCCTTTATTTAGATGGAGGGAACTGCACTTTGTGTTGCCCTTCCATCCTCCTGTCTCTTCCACTACAATTGTAGGTTTTGCAGTTGCAACTGCGGCATTTAGACTAGCAGAAGCACAGCAAAGTTCTTGGTGTGTTACGTCAACATAGTACCATAAGTATGGGGTGAACATCTGCATCTGCTTCCTTGTACCTTTTTTTAACACCTCTAGAATTTCATAGGACAGAATTCAACCAATTTTTCAGGCCTCAGACAACAACTTACAAATCTGTAGGAACTCTGATCCATCACCAAATCTCACAACATGTTAGTAATTTCATCCTGTGGTCTCAATATGGCTTTGGAATTCTTGCATTTGATCTCAAGCAAGCTCATCATATACTCTTTCATGTGACCTTTGGCACCGTTGAGAAGTAAAATAGAGAGGTTTTAAAATCATTTCATTCTGAATCTTGGAAGGTCCTTTAGGAAGGATGGACTTGACAAGGGTCCATAGTAATTACCCTTCCTATAATTTCTACAAGGCAGCTGCCTTTCTTAGAACAGAAATTGCTCATCGTCTTCTCTGTCTCTTCTTTTCGCAGCTGTTATCTCTTCACGTATTTCACGAGGTTCGGCTGCTGGTAGTGGTCTTGGCTACAGAAGTGGCCTTAGCCAGGGTGGAGGTAGTTTCTTTATAGTAGGAGGTGGCGGTGGCAGCAACATTGAAAGTGCGAGCCATGGAGATGGCAGCAGCAACAACAAAAGTGCGAACCATGGAGATGGCAGCAACATCGAAAGTGTAGACCATGGAGATGGCAGCGGCAACGTCGAAAGCATGGATCATGGAGATGGCAGCTCCTCTAGCATGAATTTAGCCTCTTCTCCTCCAACAAGTCCTATAAACTAAGCTTCCAATCCCTTGCCCTTTTGAAAATGAAATATGTGAACAATGTCTTCTCTGGACCTCTCTCTGTGCAGTATAACTAGTCCTCACTACCAGAATTGAGCCTGGATTTATGGTTGTAATTGAGTCCACATGATTGCCTCACTTAATGACCACCATGCATTGTGGTTATTAAGTGGAACAATGGGTCCCTTAGAGACTGGTAAAGGCCCTGGGAGGCCAGATGCAGGCCCATATTAGAGCACGTCCCCAAATGATACTTGTCCCTCTTCTGAAAGGCCTCCCTTGAACAGGTTCCCACCACTCTTGGTCCCATACCCTTGGAAATCTCTTCCTCCACTCTACTTGCTTTTTCTGAAAGCCATCTTTCCCAAAGAGTTTCCTTTGTGCAGTCATCTTACACAGAAGCCATGGGATACCATCCTGAAAGCGGGTGCCATTTTGGAAGCAAGAAGAATGTGAGAATTGCACCAGCTCCCAATATGGCACTTGCTTCCAGGATGGCATCCGTGGCCTCTATGTAGGAAGACCACATGGCACATTGGCTGTTTCACCTTTGGAAAGGTGATCATTGGAAAAGTTGTGGAACAAGTCATGAGTGTAGGGAAGGAGCCCTAAGGATGTGGGACCCAGCAGGGCAGGAAGCAGGCCCAAGGGACCCAACGGGGCGAGATGAGAGGGAAGATAGGCAGGTAGGAACAACTGGAGTGTTCCTGTGGTCTGTCTTAAGGGTGGCAGATTGCAAAGCACCTAAATATTGTTCATGTGCCTGCCAATCATACAGCAGCCATAACTTCAGATATAGGTTGTAAATCCCTTTATTCGTTGCCATTGTAATTTCAAATTTGAATGAAGGGATGTAAATCAAGTATTGTCTATATTCATACATGTGGTTTTTTCCTTTATATTCAGCTTTTGTATAAGACAGGCCATTTCCTTGATTGTATGTAACCAGCATTCTGCTTTACAAATGAGTCAAACTGTATGGAGGATAGATAGGCTTGTGTGCTCGGATTTTTCCTCCTTTCATCCAACTCAGATTTCTACATTTTTCAAGGTTTGCATAAACTACATAATTGTCTGAGGGAGAGTTTTGTGCTTGAAATATGTACTTTGAAACATGGCTTTTCTTTTTGGTGTGTATCCAATAAAACACTTATTATAATTGATAAAAAAACTAGCTATTTTAAATACATAATAGAAACATGATTATAAGGGAGGTCATTAAAAACAGTCTTAATACTACTGCAATAGTTAGGAAGCAGGCTAGAATTATAATGATACTGTCAACTCGTAAAATATTCCTATGTCTGTTATCAAGTTGCCATAAACAAGGGGGTGGGGGGATGTGAAGGAGCACTATGGCAGTTTAAAACCAGAAGTACATTCCACGCTTATCTTACAAAGATTGTACCTAGGCTACCGGATCTTCTTCCACCCAAATCCTTCATTGGAGAATGTGATTGATGACACCCAGCCAGTGCTTCATTGGAGAATCTGATTTATGAAACACCCGGGGGGGGGGGACAGGATCACAGGTGACTGTAAATTACATATGCCAGAGTTGGCTTCATTTAGGTTAATGCCGACATGTTGCTCCTAATAAATCTTTTGGATTCTTTGGAAGCTTGGCTCGAGGCTCATAATTTAATTAGAGCAATCGCCGGAACCCTGATTATTGCAGATGGGTGAGTTTGAACACCTATGATTTTCAGGGTGTTTTGAGATGACCTCAACAACCCAATTCAACCCAATTCTTGGTCATTAGAGGACGTTTTGGAGGGGGAATGATTCAAGTCAGTACTGTCTCCTGACGACTGCCTGGAGAAATTCGTTAGTTTACTTGGTATGATTTCAATAGTAGTTTGCTCTTGCCTGCTTCCTAGGGCAGATAAAGAGTGACTGGCACATGGTAACCAAACTAGGTTTGTACCTAAGGCTGGATTAGAATTCATTTTAACCTGGTGTCTTAACCACCACACCAGATTGGCTCTTAGAAGACAATTGCTGTTTTTTTTTTCACTTGAAAACTTTAATCCAGATATTTACCTAGAATCACCTGGGACAAAATAGGTTGCACTATGTTAGATACACTTCCCCACAATAGACGTCTTACAATGTGAGAGGTTTCCGCTATTTCTTGCAAATCTATCAGAAAACATGCATCACATGCATGAAAACTTCAGTTAAGTGAAAATGATTTCTCTCTGATGGAAGAATGCATCAGTGTGTTGGTGATGTTCTAACTTGTTTCCGTACACTGACAATCCCCACCAGATTCTCTATGGAGGAAGGTTATAATAGTGTTTCAAACAATGTAATGTCAGCATTGGTTATAACAAGCACAAGATGCTATATGGATTCAGATTTCTTTTCTCACTGTAGCTGACCAATCTCTTCTGGGATGCCAGAAGAGCATAAATATTTCCTAGTGTTGCTTCTGATTTTGGAACTAATTTACCAATAACCATCGATACCTTTATAGTCCAGGATTTGTCTAATTCTTTTTTAAAGGTCCGTTATATAATGAATTATGTAACATAACTGTGTTCAGTTTGAAAAATTCAAAAAGAAATCCTATGGAAAATTTATTCCATGGGACATTGCATGTACATGGCAGATGATAGAAGGGGCTATATTTAGCCATGAAATCCAACAACTCAAATCTTGCCCTTCTAGAATTGTGACAAACTCAATGACAGGTATTTTTCAAATCGGAAAACAGTTTTATTCTTAGCTATCTTTTTTATTTTTACCAATAACACCATCTGTTTGGGCCCAGATATCTACAATTTTCTATTTTTAAAAATGGTTGGGAGACAGTTGAGAATATATATTGGGTAGACAACTCAAGCTATGTAGTAACTTTGATAAGTAGGATTATCCAAGAATAGGGCTGATCCATACTTTCCTGTTCTGTTAGGCATGCGTCGGGTAGTCCATCAAGCGCTATTGAATGGATTCTCTGCCAATATGCAAAAATTTAATTATTGATTGGCCTTGTTCGGAATGGACAGCTGTTTCTGCTGATTGCAGGGGCTGACACTTCATCAGATCCCAGTACGCTTTTTAAAAAATGGGTCTGAACTGATTCAAATGAGTTAGTATTGGGGCTATTTTTGCCCTGAATACTTTCGGTACAGGGATCAAGGTACTTGAGTAACTATAATTAAATAATTTATATAATATTTTAGTACTTGCCTCAACCCTTGCAGAACTTCTTTTAAAATCATTTATCCACGACCCTATGTTGGTAAAAACCACTTTTAAAGTAAAGAAATTCACTTATAAAATAGGTTCACCAATTATTTGCCAGTTATATTTCATACTTTTGCAGAGGGCTGTGCGGCCCCCTAAAGAAATGCCACCCATCCATTGTGTAAAATCTTTTTCCTCTAAGATAGTATTGTTTAATGTCCATCTCGATCTTTTTTTTTTTGTCCCTTCCATTTAATTGTCATTGGGCTATGATCTGCCCAAGTACTTGTTTCAATATTTGTTTCTTGAATATTAGATATTAATTCTGTTGAGATCCAAATCATATCCAATCTGGACCATGATAAATGTCTATTTGAATAGAAAGTATATTGTTTAGCTTTAACATTTCTTTCTCCCCAAATGTCTTTTAAGGTTAATTCGTCTGTCATTTTAAAAAAAGATTTAGGGAGAGTCTTTCTATTTTGCTTTATTGTTGTTGCTATATAGTCCAGTTTATTGTTCACAATTCCATTAAAGTCTCCCATCATAATTATATTAACATAGTCCGGTCCAGTTACTTTCATATGTAATTTTTTATAGAATTCTTCCTTGTAACATCTCCTCACAATAAACATCCTAAAGTGAGAGAAACTAGAGCTACTTTTGTAAATCAGAAGACGTCCATTGCTTCTAAGTCAATAGTGCGTGAAACTCAATCCTCAACTCTTGTCTTATGATGCAGAAAAAAGACTGCTTTTTTTTTCTTACTGAAGATGAATAGGCCCCATAATTAGGGACCAGCTATCATCTCCCTGACCTCTGTTTATTATGTTGAGCTACAGGATGAAAGAATAGAACAGCCTGGGAAGTCACCAACACACTGATACATACTTCCAACAGAGAGCAGATCACTTTCACTTCTGTGAAGAGGTATCAATAGTACAGTGGTTAGGTTCTGGTCACATATTAGACAAGAGTATAATCAGAGAAATTGCTATCAGTTTAATCACAATTTACAGCATGTATATAATTTACAATGATTTACAATGATAAATAAACGATAGAAAACGTTCACATGCTTTTAGTACAGAATCGGTCCTTTGTAATGCAGTGGTAAAATAAAATTAAAATGGAACCAAGCTGTGAGTTACATTCAAGGATCACTATTAAATGTTTACATTATTGGTACACACTTTAAAGCTTGGAATGTTGTCATTTATGACCTCAGAACAAACAAAATGCTCGTTACAAAATTTAAAGACTAATGTTGCATGGGAAATGGACTAAATGACCAGCATAGAATTAAATTAATTACTTAATTAATTAAACTGGGATATTGGTCTTCTCAAACATTCCAAAGTAAGAATTGACACATTATGTTTCATGGGGAACAACAAATGTCAATTGCATGGTTTAATAAAAAAAAGAATTGATATCAGTTAAATAGATCTAATATCCCAAGTCCAAATAAATAATGTATAAAAAAAATAAACAGTTATAAGCAATAGTGTTTCCAAAAAGGAGGGAAGGAAGGAAATTCAAAAGCAATTAATACTGCCATTCTGTAGAAGAATAAAGACAGCGGTAGGAGAAGAAATTGGCAGTACACTTCAATATAGACATATATTTTAGTGACAGTTATTCCGCTGCCCATGTGCCATTAATTCTTCTGTACTGAAAAGTACTCAAGTAGGTGCAGCATTTTTGAACAGTGCTTCCATTTTACACTTTCTTCGCTGAAGAGCTTCTTGCTTTTTCCGTGCAATTTCTTCTTGAGAACACCTACTTTTATATTCTGCAAAGAG